TTGATGTGCTGTTTACATTTCCTTGTGCCATTTTCGTATTACCTTTTCACTAACTTGGACCCGTTCTGCAACGTTGGGGACTCTGCGAGAACAATTACTACCTATAAAAGGATTTGGTCTCTGGTAACTCTTGATTATATCAGATACAGTCTCGAATAAAGACGTTCCATTTAAAGTAATTTCTTTATTGCGTCAGCAATAATCTATTTCTCGAAAAGATTCTGCTCTTGGGTAGTCAATATAATTGGAGGTCCATTTTCATGAAGCCTTTTAACTTGTTTATAAGCGAGGAATGAGAAACATTGTATCATCTCTTATAGAACGAGCATAATTTTTTGTCATACAGGGATTCCTCCCTATTGAATAAAACTTTTTTATCGCCATCTGGAAAAAACTAATTTATAAAAATATCAACTGCAGTAATTACTTCCCAAGGCGTACGGTTGGATAATCTGGAAGCAAGAATGAAAATAAATGACACATAAAAATGAATATGTTAAAAATATGGAAAATCTTAATTTGTTGTATTCTCAGAAATTGATCATCTGGTCAAATACAAGCAAGAGTAAGTTTTTCAAACCAGTAAATGACAATATTTTTTAAATTTCAAGCACATGAAAAGTTCGGGGCGCTAAATTGGTGGTACTCCACTTATCGAAACTGAGTCCCCCAAGGGCAAATTCGTAACATCGATTTGATTTTGAATGAAATACAAAATATTAGGACGTTGAATTCTTCTGTTTGTGAAGCATTGGTGTTACTTAGGCTAAACCACGTAGAGCATCTTCGCATTTCTAACCTTGATTTTTAATTCCATGTCGCCTTTTGATTAGGGTTTGCAAATTGTTTGAACAATTGAAGCATCGGCTCAAAGAAGTTTATAACAAACAATTATCTAATTTGTCAGCAGAAGCAAAAAAAAAACCCTTGAAATTTTGTTTATATGTTAAGTCTCGACGTAAGACGGAAGTACTTCTCCATAATTACCCTCTACAAAGTTGTTAATTTTAAAATAAATTGTGAAGCTCTTTTACATATGCTTAATTTTAGAATCCCCCGCGCAACCTCTCGAAACAACGAATCATTTTACATAGCAACTCCTCGGACAAATGTTCTGAAGTTTTCACCTGTATATAACATGTGTAATAATTATAATAATATTAGTGAACAGTTGGATATATTTAATTGCAGTGTTAAAAACATAAAAACATTGTTTAAAATAATTTAGAATTTATTTACTGTAATTTTAGATTAATTATCTATATGCTTTTTGTTAAACTGGTTTCTTTCAAATGTACTCCTGTTCTGTAATTGGGTTTAACCTGTTGAACAATGTATAAATAAATAAATTAAATAAATAAATAAATAAATTAATTAATTAATAAAAAAATATTATTTTTGAAAATTTTGGCACTTAGACTCTTCTGAAGTTAAAATCTTCAATTAGAGGAAACTGAAAAATGCATATTTATGAAAATACAGGCAGATTTCTACCAAAAGTTCCACTTACCTTTCTTATTAGCACACAACACTAACTTACAAAAATGGAACAGCTACCTGTTAAACATAAACCTAGAAAACAATTTTATTGCAACAAATTGCTTAGGGGTAATACTAGTGTATTACCGATAGTAGTCGCCTCAAATGTTTACTGCTCAGTGGATTTAACTTCATTACAAACATTTTTATAATTTCCTTCTGTCATATAACTATGTATTATTGCCACTTCTATCACTATCCACTATCCATTATAGTGAGACTTCTACAAAGTTGAAAATTTGTAATAAGCTGAAGGAAATTAAATGTCAAACATACAAAATTAGAAATCACATATTTAACATGTCAAGCACCATTGAAAATGCTACCCATTATAGTGAGACTGCTTAATCACCATAACTTCATACCCAACAAGACACATATGTTTAAGAAAAAATCGTCCAATGTTAATGTTATCAAAGGCGTTCCATCCACTCCCAGAAAGGAAGTTTTAGGCACGGATATTAACGGTGGATTCACTGGAGTCGAACGAATGAAACATATCCACTTAAATAATGTTAGTCCAGGAGTAACTGAACACCAGGTTGGAGATTACATAACGAAAAAGCATTCGTTAAAGAAAACTGATTTTTCGGTCAAAACTATAACTTCTAATGACTATTATTGTTCATTTAAAGTGAGTGTACGACAATCTCTGTTTGATGCACTGCTGCATCCTGATGTATGGCCCTGTCAAGCTACAGTGAGGGAATTTTTACCATGTGCTCCTAGATATGCATCTAACCATAAGAATACACATTTTTTAGAAAATTAAATCAATTGTCCCTGTATTATCAAAATGTTGGTGGTATGAGAACTAGAACCAAGGAATTTGTTACTGCTCTGTATACTTGTGATTTCGATGTCACTGTTTTGGTTGAAACTTGGCTGTGTATTGGCATTGAGGACGCAGAGTTGGGGTTTGCCGGCTACTCGTTATATATATGCGATCGCGATAGAGAACTAACAGGTAAATCTAGAGGAGGAGGAATCTTAATTGCCGTTAAAAATAACATCGATTCTGTGAAATTGAAACTGTTGCATTTGTACCGTGTATATCCCACCTTCTTCCCCTGTGGATGTGTTTGAGTATCATGGTCAAACTGTTGAACATATTTGTGAAAGTTATGATGACAAGAATATATATTTTGTCGGCGATTACAATCTTCCGGAAGTTGTTTGGCTAAATGAAATTGATGGTGTTATAGCCAGTAATAGAGGTCCAAGAGCACAAGCATTAAGTGAGTACTTAGCGCTCAGCAACATGTATCAGTTAAATGAAATCCACAATGGTAACAACAGAGTTTTAGATTTAGTTTTTAGTAATGTACTTAGATATTGTGTGTCTCTATCTGATTATTTTCTATTGAAACCTAGTTTACACCATCCACCTCTTGAGTTGTCTTTGTCTTTAAACTTTAATGAAGGTGGTAATGTGAATGAGAATGTTTATGATTTTAACTTGGCCGACTATTAAAGCCTAAATGATGTTTTTATTAATATTAACTGGGATCAGTATTTTATTCACAATGATGTTAATAGTTGTGTATATCCATTTTCTATTTAGAATTATTTGTACCTAAGAAAAAAATTAATTACAATAACAAATTTCCCATTTGGTTTACAACTGAAATAAAAAACTTGATATTGGAAAAAAAGCAGCTCATTTGAGATATAAAAAAAGCAATTCTAATCACCATTATAATGAGTATAAAAATTTAAGATCGCGCTGTAAATTATTGTCAAAAGAATGTTATCAATCATATGTTCAGGATACCGAAATGTTGATTAATTTTAGCTCCAAACCATTTTGGAAGTTTGTGAACTCTAAACGTCATAATTGTGATATGCTTAGTACAATGAGATTAGAAGATAAAGTTTTTACTAAAAATAAGTCAACTGCAGCCCCAGACCAGATCAGATTACAAATCGGTTTTAGAAGCAGGTGCCTTTGCTATGGCAAGACCTCTATGGCTTCTGTTCAATAAATCGCTAACTGAAAGTGTTTTTCACATCAAGTGGAAAACATCATTTGTTAAACCTTTGTTGAAGTCTGGAGATCCTCCGCTTATTACTAATTACAGATCGATTACCAGTTTATCATCAATTCCTAAAGTTTTCGAGAGTATTGTCAATGACCAACTAAGTGAAAAGCTTTCAAATGTGATTAGTAGCAAACAACATGGCTTTCACGTTGGCAGATCAACTACGACCAATTTGATGCTCTTCACCGAGTATGTTGCTACTGCTGTAGAAGATAGTCTTCAAGTAGATGTAATTTATACAGATTTGACGAAAGCTTTTGATCGAGTTGACCACAATATTTTAAAGGGTAAATTGTATGCTCTAGAAATTTATGGACAGGCTTTGAACTGGCTAATTATTTATTTTACAGATCGTGTTTGTCGAGTTAAAATTAAAAATGCCATTTCTAGTGAATATGCAGCGATATCAGGGGTCCCTCAGGGATCACATTTGGGCCCATTGTTATTTAGCATTTACATTAATGATGTGGTGAAACAATTAAATGATACTGAAGTTTTAATGCATGCTGATGATATCAAATTGTATAATATCGTTAAAGATCTCTCTGATTGTCTCATACTGCAGAAAAATTTAGACAGTTTGAATGAATACTGCTTTTGCATAGATTATTAATTAATCCCTTAAAATGTAAGGTAGTGTCTTTTTATAAGGGGCTTAATATAAACCTAATTAATCATACTTATGAGTTGCATGGAAATCATATTAATAAAGTTGACAGTATAAAAGATCTTGAGGTTATATTTCAATATAATCTGTCTTTTTCTCAGCATGTTGATTATGTTGCTGGGAAAGCCTTAAAACAGTAAGAATTCGTGAGAAGGCACTCGGCAGACTTCGTGAATTTTCATACAATTAAAATCTTATTTTATTCGCTCATAAAGTCACATTTGGAATAATGTTCTGTTATTTGGTCACCATATGCGCAAATTCATATTGAAAAGCTTGAAAGAGTACAGCGTAGATTTTTAATGCACTGTTCTTTTAAATTGTATATAACCCCTTGTTGATTCTCCTGAACTCTTGCGAAGTGTAGATTTTTATATCCCACCTAGGCCTTTGCGTGGCAGCTCCACATTTGCTTTGAAAGCTCATAGAACTAACTATGGCTCAGGAATTGGTATGGCCAGACTTCTGAGAAATGCTAATACATTTGCAGCGAAACAGAATATTGATATTTTTAACTCTTCCCTGTATCAAGTGAAAAGAGTGGCAAAGTAAAAAAATGTGTTAGCTCTACATAGTATTTTTATATTTATGTATATTTTTTATATTATAAACTTATGTATTGTGTAAATGGTTTAAACCATATGATAAATAAATAAATAAGAGATTCTTCAAAACCATTTTAGAAATGTTTGAAGTTTGGTCATTAACCCTATGACATGTGGGTTAACAATTATAAATATATAAATTCTTACCTTCATCTGAACCACTGGCAACAGCTTCCAATTGTGGCTCATTGCTATTGTCATCTTTAATTGATCCCCCCTCACTTTCAAAGCTAGTATCAAGATCTACAGTGTATATTGGGGTTACTGTAACAGTCTCACTAAATGATACACTTTTGCGTTTTTTCTTCTTTTTGAGTCCATTAGAAGATGTGCTTTCCATGCTGTCTTCCATTATTGGAATATATTTTTCTTTAGTTTCATCTTTGTGTTTCTTTAGCTTTTTTAATTTTTTCTCAGCAACATTTTTATCTGCTTCATTATCTGACAGTGATACCTTTCTCATTTTTTTCAATAACATCTTTTCCTGTTTTTCAATTCTACTTAACTTCCCACTAAGTTTTAAGCCATGTCTAGCACCTTTATGGGCAGTTCTGCCTCCACATGCAGCAAATAACTCTTCATCAGTCAATGATTGGAAATTACTTTTATATTCAGACCTACTAGGAGTATCATAATGTTCCACATTATTCCCTGTGATTTTAGAAGTCTTTAGAAAAGAACCATATTCTAAATTGCTGTTCTTCTTCAGGTCTCTTATAGAGTAACCTTTTGTTGTGATTTCTATAGATTCTTTAGATTTTAGTTTCATTTTTACTTCATTGTTATCAGATTCAACATTAATGTTTTCAGCTGCATTATTAAATAATTTTTCCCACCAGTTATTGGTGAACTGTTCACCAACATCGTGTCCCACTCCAGAATTGTCAAATTTTAATTTAGGTTTAATAGCTGTTACAATTCCATCTTCTTTCTTTCCTAATCCTTTTCCTAAAACAAATAATAATTTATTAAATATTGTGAAATTGCTGGATTTTAAAACAAATAAAATGTTAAAAATATAAACATGAGGACGTAAACTATAATTTTAAATATTACCTTCACTCCATCCATACTTTTCTAATTGTTTCCGAGCAAAATTCATTTTAAAAATATCTATTTTCAATTACTTATTTAACTTTTTTTTTAAAACTGTCATATTGCAGACACATGAAGCTCTTCCTCCCTTCTCCCTCTTCTCTTCAGATCAAAGACATGAGGAAACCAAAACACCCATAAAATATAATAATTTCGTTAGATAAATATAACGTCAATTGCAAAGATCCAAAAGTTTATTAGAAAAAGTTCTTCTTTTTTAAGAATAAATCTCTGACAACTGGACTGCTACTATATCAACAAACCGGCTACTGTGAACTCGTACTGTTGGCCAGTGTTGCCAACTAGAGGAAAATTTCCCGTGTTGCGGGAATTTTCAACACAAAGGCTAACTCAAAACGGGAACTTTTTACTCGTCCAAATTGTGAAAATTATATGATTTTTGAAAATAAATAAAATTAAAAATTTTTAATTCTTTGACGTATTTTTAGATTATACTTTTTTATGTACGTTCGTTTTTGAAAATATGTACATGCTTGTATTTATAAAACCGATTTTGTTAACGGGAGGAAAATTTTAAGGTCAAGGAAAAAGCAAAGTAAGTGATCTGTGGAAAAACCTTCATCAAGGTTGGCAACACTGATGACCACAAAGCACATAGAGGTTCCACGTGAATGACCAAGGTCAAAACCGACAATTGACATTTTTTATGCTATTTGCTCCAAACTCTAGATGGGGCTACTGGTAAAATTCTGATTTCTTACTCCATTTTTAAGCTTTATGGGAGAAAAACTTAACCAAAGACTCCAAAGATGTGACGTGTATTTATTTATGTTTTTGGTTAATCTCATTTTTCCGTCTGATTTTAGTGATTTTTTGTTGGCTTTGGCTTTTGGTTTCTGTTTATAGTTTCGTCTTAGTTATAACCTACTGTGTTTTGCAATAATTTTGGTGCTACCTGTGGGTGCTACGTTGAAAACTTCGAGAAAAACTTCATTGATTCACCATGCATCTGCATCATAAAAAGAAACGGGTATAACAACTAATTGATAATCAATTTATCACTGGACTAGATTCCGAAATCATTTTTCACATAAGAGAGTAATACACAAAGCAGTGGAGTAATACCACCATCTGTATTTGGAAGGAAAATACCTATTTATCATTGAATGAATAGTTAAAAGGATTCACCTTTTAATACAATACCTATATTACATTTGTCCTCGGTTTAAAAGACATTTATAAAATATATTATTTTAGTGTTAATAAAATGTAATATCCTAGTCTCTACTTCACATTTAAATTATTGATAGGTATTTTAAAGATTTGAGATTATATACCTATTTGCTGCAAGTAAGTATTCGTTAAATATGTATTATTATTTGTATTTATTTTTATCTAATAATATTATTTAAGTTATTAATAAACATATTTTAAGAATGTTCTATTTTATTGTTTATTGATATATCTTATATTTATTTAATAATAATATGCAGAACCAACTCTTCACATCAGACCCCTGCTTATAACAAATTAATTCCTCAAATTTGGTATAATCGACCTAAATTATTTTGTAAAATAAAAGTTTCAAACTTACTAGTTCCATTCTTTATTTTATAAAATAATTTATGTGGAAATCATTTAAAATTTAATTTAAAACTACTACCTACTCCTAAAAATTACAATTTGAATTTACCGCCATCTGTCAATTGTCATTTTAGTTCCAGCTCCAAACACAAGGTGGCGCCAATTTGGTTTAAAAGTTTAACATTGGCGTGGGGTCTCTAGAAGATACGTGCTTTGTGCTGATGACTATTCTTGTAAAAATTAAAATGCGAGTTCTCCAAACGTAAATAACAGATATATTCCATAAAATATAAAAATGACCACCTATAAAGTACCCCCCAGGATGTTCCGACTCTGCCCAAAATCTAATCAGTTCATTGGTGTTTTTCTTTGTATCCGTTCATGAGTTATGGTGGATACACACACACATCGCGAAAACAGTCAAAACGGATTCAGGGGACCTCAAAACGTAAAAATCCGTCGAGTAAATCGGTTCTTTGCACTTACTTCCAGACAGTAAAACATATCATATAACAGTAAAAGAAATTAAATAAAAGGCCAAGCCAATAAAAAATAGATTTTTAGTTTTACCAAGGCTACTTCACATTATCCTTTTTCATGTATTTTTTAAGTTTGACTTCTTTCCAGTAAAATCTATATAAATTAATTTTAATTTAAAAAACCAAGTATCATAAATAATTCAGTAATTGTGGATAGTAAAAGGATATGAAAATTCTTTCTCAAATAATATAAAATAATTAAAATAAAAAATAAAATAAAACAGGAAGTGAAAGACTTTATTTTTTATTTACGTTTTGTTCTTAATTATTATAAAAATATTAAAATCTAATCTTCATACACCCATTTTGCATCAGCTGATGTCCAAGATACCACTTCCTTTTCATTAAACCACAAATTAATTTCTTTGTTAGCAGATTCAACAGCATCAGATCCATGGCAGATGTTGCGTCCAACCTGGATACAGAGATCTCCTCTGATGGTACCTGGGGCACTGTCAGCTGGATTGGTAGCACCAAGAAGTACACGGCCAGTTTTAACAACACCCAAACCTTCCCATACCATGGGAACGACTGGGCCTGAACTCATGTATTTGATTAGACCAGGGAAAAAAGGTTTGCCAGCTAAGTCTGCATAGTGTTTTTGGAGGAGTTCTTCCGATGGCTGAAAAAACAAATTTTTTTTCAGTATTTTTAATAAAACGCCAGTAATATTGTTTTAAATAATTGCAGTTAACTTATTTTTTGCTTGAAATAAGAAAACTACAAATAAAATAATATCATGTTACTGGTTCATTTTAAATTTGGCATTTTATGAATGTGACAATTGCTATTCCAAATTAATTTATGATGTAATTTATTTTCTCATAAACTACTTTTAATGAACCTGTTAATTATTGATATAGAAACTTGCAAACTAGCAAACTGCAAAAAAAGAATTTGTCATACCTAAGCCTCATTACTAGCTAAATAATTCCCATGTTTTTAACATGTTTGTACCTAGTTGTGTCCACATACTAACCTATATATAATGTTGGGGATGGTCAATAATTGACCAGTAAACTCCTGACAAAATATTTTATTTGAGTTGTATCATGTTACATATCAATATTAAAGCATTTTTGAATTGCAAGCACTGACATGGGGTTATTGCATCATTATCCTGCACTCGCACCAACGTTAAATGTTGATGTTCATCCCATCAGCTAATTAAAATGTTTTGTTTTAGATTAAGTTTCAATAGAAAAAGGTTTTGAATTTTCTTTAAATGTTGAAATAAAAAATATTGTTTGTATTATTGGATTTTTGAATAATTTATTTAAGTAATCTATTATTCATCAAATGGAAATAATAAATGGCTGTTGATAATAATTGATAATAATATTGATTGTTGTTTTTCTATAAATAGTTGTAGCAATTAGGTATAGCAATTATTTTATTTGATATTTTTTACCAAATTTTATTAATAGTAGTTAAGACACACCCTATAGATGTTTATAGGAATAAACTTAATAGACAACACCAATTATTTACATATTATTAATTACATAACTATTTATAAAAATCAATAAAAGGAAAAGGAATGTGTCACTCTTTGAAACTGAATAATGAAACCGCGACCTATGATAAATGTGCCACGCGGCCGGTGTCCATAATGTATAATGTGGTATGATAATTATGGTATGGAGTATGTTCTTATATATTTACTTACCCACAAAAATTTGAGAGCAACCAGTTTGAATCCTTTCTGTTCGAATCTCTTGATGATTTTTCCCACAAGGCCCCTTTGGACGCCATCGGGCTTAACCATGATAAAAGTTCTTTCGCTATTAGCAGCCATTGCACTTATAATGGAATAGTAAATGTATAATAAAGTACAGATCATGCAACCAGCCCGGCGACTGATTGAATTTGAAATGAACGAATAAAATTCAATGAAAAACGACACGAAGTTATTTCAGGTTTGTTCTGGTTCTCAAAATGAAAACTGTTATGAAACTGCGCCGGACCGTATGCGTAAAGGCAAAAAATCCCCGACTGTTTAAAATTGTTGGAAAACCAGAACACATAAAGGTGTTTTGTTTATTATAATAATGAATAATGAAGTTCCTTTTGAAAGCTCAGCTTCAAATAACATTAGCATGTATATGTTTATCATTATCATCACATTTCAATGGAATAAATAAAAACAGAATAATATAAAAAAATTAATAATTCCAAAATTGCTTTAATTTACAAATAAAACAAGAACAATAGACATTCGTTCACATGTAAATAAACAATTTGGGATTGTATACGTTCCGTATGGTCTAAAAAGCCAATACAATATTCATAACACTTCAAAAACGCATGCGCGGTCAAAACAGTCCGAGTCGATCCACACTCCCAAGCATGAACACATTTTGACTATTTACAACAATCACGGATTATTTCGGATACGAAACCAGAACACTGGACTGAGAAATCCGAAGTAGTCCCAGAAAAACCAGAACACTTTTTATCTACTGCGCATGAGCCCGACAGTTGTGGATCGTTATTTCTCAAAACCAGAACAGACCTTTCGTTTTCCGCGAATAGAAAAAAGAACTTCCCTCCCCTTAACCTTGAACAAGAAGACGCAGTTATTAACAGTTATTTAATAACTGGAACAAGTAACTGGTAACTGAATAATTAACATATTAGTAGTTATCACATGAACCTTTTTCTTATTAATTCAAGAGTTATATTTATATGATATTACACAATTAAATATTTTTACATCAAACAAAAATAACTAACCTTGACATCATTGATTCACATGGTACATGTGGATCAATGCAAACATCTGAAAAATCATTTACACTCTCCACATATTCTACTGTAAGGCCATCAAAGGAAAGAAGAAGAATAGAGAGAAAAAGTAACCTAAAATTTTAATAAAATGTCTGTGTATTCATTAGATTTAAAAAAATCTTACCTGTTACAAGTACATTTAGAACAAAAAGAAGTTCTACGGGCCATATTTTTGATAGCAATACAACAAAAAATTTCAAATTTCTAAAATTTTGTACCAAAAGTATTAATATACTTTACATTACATGTCACATGAAAATATTATTATTCCTTGCCATTCAGTGTTGCCAGGCCAAAATTTTTATTTTCCTAGATAATTTCTCAAAAATTTGGAAATAAAAAAAATACTTGAAAATAAAATATATCCCTATTTATTAATAATATTTTTTTCTACATCTAAAAATCAAGCCACTTATTGTTAATTTTTTATTCAACAAATTTACTGGAAATCGAGGCACATGTTAAATCGGGACACATGTTAAATCTGGACACATGTTAAATCGGGACACATGTTAAATCAGGACTAGTGGTTTAAAATCAGGACTGGTCCCTTTACTGAATACAAAATATATTTTGCAATTATTAGCTACTTTATTATTTGTTTTATTTTCAGGTTATAAAAATTCACCTATACCTTATTCTGTATACAAAAACGCTGTAAAAAGTGTAAACATAAAAAATGAATAACCAGAAAAATACGTGAAATGTGAAATTATTTCCCGTAAAATACTAGCGAGCCGACATGGGGTTTTTACTTATCGATTTTCCTTATGTCTGTAACTGAAAAACATTTAAACTTAATGAAATAAAACAATTTGTATTCGTAAATAATTGGTGTAGTTTACAATTTTTTGATGTGCCTGTAAAATAAATAATTCCTGTTCTTTATTTTTAAATATTTTATTTGTTTACCAAATTATTTTTTTACCTTAACCGTCCTTTCTGTTCCTAATGACCTATTCCACCGTTGTGTTAAACGAAGTTTAAAATGACATTTTTACATTAACAATGTCATTTTAATCTCCTACGGTGGAATCGGCCCTTATTTGCCATGCTCTGGCCAATGGCCATGCTTATTTTTACGAGAAACGAGTGACTCTCAGATTGCCTAGTTTATTGCTATTGGAAGGAAAATATAGTTATCTTCAAATAACCACGATGCAAATAACTACTTCAAAATGTATTTCTTCACTATTAGATGGCGGGTCATTTTGATGAACTAAATTGTTTTTCTAAGGGCCGATTCCACTGTTGTGTTAAACGGAGACTAAATTGACATTGTTAATGTAAAAATGTCATTTTAAACTTCGTTTAACACAACGGTGGAATCGGTCCTAACAATATCATTTTAATCTCCATTTAACACAACGGTGGAATCGGCCCTAATGGGTCCTATGATTGAACGTTTATGTTATCCATAACGTACATGTTAGGTCGAATTTTAATAGTAACGAAGCAAATTTGTATGATGGAAAACTGTTAAATTAGAACATAGGCGGAAAATAACAGTAATATGTGTTGGAAACCGTTTTTCCTCATACGAACTTGCCTAATTACTGTTAAAACTGAGCCTAACATGTACGTTACGGATAACGTAAACGTTCAATCATAGGACCCATTAGGGCCGATTCCACCGTTGGGTCCTATGATTGTCGTTGAACTGTCGTTAGCTTAACGATGTCGTCCATAAACGATAAATTACTGAATAGGGCCCTAAGTCGTCCTTGAACGAAAATCGAAGTTCGGTTATATCGCGTGAATTTAGAGATGGGTAGTAACAAATCCGTAAATGTACATAACAGTTACAGATTTGCTAATATCCATCTCTAAATTCCAGTTTAACACCAGAACCACCTAGAACTTTAGAGACATTGTAACCGAACTTTGATTTTAGTTCAAGGACGACTTACCCAAGTCCGACTCACGTAAGTTCTGTTTATAAATACGGGCCTCAAGCTGAGTTTTGTTTATAAATACGGTCCTAACCTCTGACTGATTTTAAAACTAAAATTAATAAATGAACTGATATTTAAAAAAAAATCAATATAATAAATCGATTTTATAAAAAAATCCTTAAATAAATAGTATGATTACATATTACTAGACACAAATTTTGATTCTTAAATAAAAGGTCTTATCCATTTCTTCAAAAACTAAAATCCGACGACGTAACGAAATTTTGCTGCTTCTGGCAACACTGAACGTCATCCTACTTATAGGGACCTTTTACTAATTTCCTCCAGAGGGCGTATCACTTAGCATGAATCGCGAATAAATACGGGCCTTAGATTTGTGGATAATTTCGTTATTTGCAGTTGGTAACACTGGTTGAAAAGTAGAAAGAAGATTAGAGTATCTTCATATACGAAGGCACGAAGTAAAGATAGAGGTGGACGGTGGAAAGTGGAAATGAAGTTCCAGAGTTGACTTGACGCGGACGCCTGACGCCATTTTAAAATTACTTTTTAAACGTCAAATTGGAAGGAAGCTTGCTGCATGTTATTTATTTCATATTTTGAATAGATTTATATAAAACAAATAAAAAAACGTTAATTACTTTAAATCTTTTAATAAGTGTGCTTTTGTGAAAAAATGGGTGAAGAAAAAGGTAGGTCTATTTTGGTATTACAAAATATAATTTGTTTATGCAATACATACTAGAGATATTCAATATTTTTAATTAATAATATGATTGTAGATGGCAAAGACCGCGAGCGTGAACGTAGCAGAGAAAGAAACGAAAAGGACCGGCGAAAGCGCTCCCGTTCACGAGAACATAGACGTAGGTCCAGATCTAGAAGCCGGGAACGCCCTGAACGCAGAAGAAGGAGCCGTTCGGGGTCTCCAACAAGGCACAAGAACTCATTTTCTAGAAGGCGTAAGCCTTCTCTCTATTGGGATGTGCCCCCACCGGGTTTCGAGCATATAACCCCTCTTCAGTATAAAGCTATGCAAGCAGCTGGTCAGATCCCTGCCAATATTGTTGCTGATACACCCCAAGCAGCTGTTCCTGTGGTAGGATCCACAATCACAAGGCAGGCCAGACGTCTGTACGTTGGAAACATTCCATTTGGGGTGACTGAAGATGAAATGATGGAATATTTCAACCAACAAATGCATTTAAGTGGGTTGGCACAAGCTGCTGGAAATCCTGTTCTGGCTTGTCAGATAAATCTTGATAAGAACTTTGCATTTTTGGAATTTAGGTCCATTGATGAAACTACTCAAGCAATGGCCTTTGATGGCATTAATTTTAAAGGTAGGAAAATCTTGGAAAATGTCTTATTCAAGTTCTCTATTTCTACTGTTCTATTAATATTTTTTTTAGGTCAAAGTTTAAAAATAAGAAGACCCCATGATTATCAACCTATGCCAGGTATGTCTGAAAATTCCATCAGTGTCCCTGCTGGTGTTATTAGTACTGTTGTACCAGATTCGCCACACAAAATATTTATAGGAGGTCTACCTAACTACTTAAATGAAGACCAGGTAAGGGGTTTGTAAACTTGGGTGTAACATTGAGTTGCTGATGAATTCAAGTTTTTTAAATCAACAATAGGAATTGTGTTTCAATATTTCTGAGTTATAAAAGAAAAAAAAATGTGTTATAGTTAATACTATGGATTCATAAGACTTTAGTGTCATAAAAGTAAGCAATTAAAAAAAAAATAGAACTATTTTGAATGTGGTAAAGACTAATTAGTAGCGTTCGGTTTGGCCAGGGACTGGAACTGCAGAGGAGCGGAGTTTTTAGGGTGCTTTTGAATAACATTTAAGTGTGTTAAACTGTCAATAATCAGACTAAACGCTGAAAGGGTAGTTTGGAGTGAATGGAGCTTGTCTGTCTGAACTTAACTATTCTTTACAAAAAAAGTGCAGATTTTGTCAAAATAACCATTTTTTGGAACATGAGTAAATTGTTTACTGAGTTCTCCGAAGGGGCGAGTTTTTAAAAAAAAATTTCAACCCCGGAAAATAAATAATAATAAACGTCTTTATTTTAATAAGCAGAGTCCAGCATAGCTGTTCCACTCAACCGAGTACCAAATACAAACATTGTTATTTAGATTTAAATTATTTAATATTCATTTTATATAGACATGCAATAAGAAAATTAACAATACAAACTTTAAAACAAAAGAAATTTTTTCAGTAATTTTTTAGAGAGTTATATATAGTCACTGCATTGTATGAGAAAGATCTCTTGTAGGGAGTTGTTCTATGTTTAGGCATAACAAGAAGGCTAGTATTTCAGTTATGAACATTCGAGCTAAATGTCAATTTTTTCCTAAGGTATGCTGCTGGATTATTATTTCTCAGCAGTTTGTGTACAAAGGAAGCTATATGAAGTTTTCGTCTATTAAAGATATTAAGCCATCCCAATTCTTTCAATTTGTTTGAAACATGATCTCTAGATGTTAATGTAAAAATGAGCCTAATGCACGAGTTTTGAATTCTCTGTAGCCTCGCCGACGAGTCTACATCTAAATATGGCCCATAAACAAAATCAGCATAATTGGTATGACTTAATATTAATGTCTCACAGAGTTGTATTTTTAGAGATGCATTCAAAAAGTTCTGCTTCGATATAGATTTTTTAAAGAGCAATAACATTTTTGGACAATGGATCTAACTTGTTCCTTAAATCTCAATTTAGTGTCGATATAAATTCCCAAACTTTTGACTAAGTCACATGGCTTAACTACCACATTATCAATTTCAATATTCAAATTATCTTTTATAACTTTGGTAACATTACCAAAGCATATTGCTAGTTTCTATAGTAAACTTTTTGCAAAAAAAAATATATATAGAAATACCAGTATTTTTCGAGAAAAATAATCAAAAAATATATATTTTATTTGGAAAAATGCAGTATTTCTACCTATAGAGAAATTGCATTAAAAAAAAAATGTTTTTCATCATGAAATATACCACCCCAACATTTGTTCTCATATTTACACAAGAAAACATCACTAACAAAAAAAATTATATATATTCTACATGAAATATTAAAATATATAAATCCTTTATTTAGTCAAAAACAACTAATACATGGTCATTACACTTTCTCACTAAATATATATGGCTAACTAGAATAAGTTATTAATCTAACTGTAGTCATATAAAATATAATTAAACAACACACATAGAATAATAATATTAATAACAAATACTTCAATATCTAAATTACCTACTTACATCTAACAAATATTGTTTTAGTTTACGTTTAAATACATTAATTGATTCTAATTTCTTTAGATCTGGCAAGTCATTAAATTGCTGTAGCCCCTTAAAAAAGATTGAATTTTGAGCATGACTGGTGTTGATGGTGCTAATATAAAAATCATTTCTAAGTCTTGTATTATGGGTGTGATGATGGTTATAAATAATTTTATTTTGGATATAGTTAGGTGGGTGACCTATTTTGATTTTAAATATAAACATTAATGCCTGGTAAAGGAACGTCTTTAATAGAGAGCCAGTTTAAAGATATCCTCATTTCTACAGTAGGTGTCAATTTAGGACATGATAATATTCGCATAGCTCTATTCTGCAACTTTTGGAAATGATTTCTTTCATTTTGATTTAAGAGATATAATACTGTTGAGCAGTAAATGAAGTGAGATAGTATTAGAGAATTAAATAAAACCAGCCTTGACCACTTAGAAAAATGCTGTGAACATCTGAAAAGATTATTTGTTTAAATTTAAATTGTCGATCTATAATAACTCCGAGATATTTGAATTCATTTACCATATGAATTTCCGAAGACCCAATCATTATTTTATGATCTTGTTGGACAAAAAGTTTATATTGCTGCTCATTACCAATTATGATGAATTTGGTTTTTTATGATTAATGTTTATTAAATTGGCATAACACCATCTATAAACAATTTCTAAGCACTTATTAACCATTGTAACAACATCTATTGTATTTAGAATAGAATAGCAAATGAAGGTGTCATCTGCAAATAAGTGAAATAAACATTTAGTCTGTAATGTCATTAATATAAATAAAAAAAAAACAAGGGACCTAGGACACTTCCTTGTGGTACACCTCGTTTTATTTCTAACTCCTCAGATACCAAGTTTTTAATTTTGACTTTTTGCCTTCTGTTTGTTAAATAGTTGGAAATCCATTCCAATAATAAAAAAACATAAATGAATTGAATGTCGCCTGAAATGAAAACATAATTTTTTAAAAATCCGCTTCCTGGCCAACTGACTCTGATTAAAGAATATACATTCTTGCTTCTCAGCTTAATATTGCTACTTCTACTAAACAAACCTAAGTTGTCTAAGTACCTATTGATTGTTGCAATAAACACAACATCAAATTTATGAATATTTATTGATTTAAAATACATATTTTTCTGCAAAATATGCTCACAAATATTGGTAATTGTATCTTTAGTAACTGTGCTACCACATAAAGTCTTTAATAAATAATCTATAAAACACTTAAAACCTATGTAAAACCCAAAAACACAAATAAAATTAAGATAAATAAAATCAAATTCTTCACAACCACACAAAAGAGCATCCGCTAATCGAAATTAGGTACTATGCTTCTATCAAGTAATAGGTAGTTTTCAACATCTGCAATAAAAAATAGTTCCAACTTGGAAAAGCCATATTTTTGAATAATGACTATAATCCGAAATTTTTTTTTTCTTCAAAAATCAAGAAATACCTATCTGTAGTTTTATTTAAAACATATGTCAAATCTGTAATTTTGTGACACTAAAGTGATATGTCACCAATACTATTTTGAATTAGTACATGTAACAACATGACTGAATTTTCTTTAAAAAAAAAAATTCTACATTTTTTATAATTTTTTGTTTTAAAAAACTTGAATGAGTGTTTGGATGAATGCGAAAGAAATTTTACCATTCTCTAGCATTTAGGAACAAAAATTGAGTAAAATGGACACCAACCAGCAGTCAGAGTTCTTAAAATGGTGTTTTAAGGTTAAATCTTTAAATTTTACAGCCTTTACAGGTTTACAGGGTTCAGCAGAATTGTTCAGCAATAAATAAAATGACTACAAAAAATTTTCAGCCTTTTTTTCAGATTTTAGCCTTGGTTTAGAGTGGAATATATTTTTAACATTTTTAAAATTTTATCTTCTATTGGTTTCTTGTGTAATATATGTTTCAGTTTTTAATGGCTTTTAAACCTGTAATGAATTTAATGTTTAAAGGACTTAGTTTTTTATATCTTACACCAGAATCAATTACAAAAACAGTAAATTTTTGAATAAATAAATTATACAGTTAATAAAAATGTTTTATATATTCTCTATCAATTTCTATTAGAAATATTCAATTTCACCCATTAGAAGGTAAAATGTTTGAGTGTTAAAAAATTGTTTTGCTAAACGTTTTTGCAGGATTACAGCTTTTTACAGGCAAAGAATATGAAAATATAAAATTAATACTCTTTCAGGTTGAACATGCAATTAAAGTACTTTGCAGGATTTTTTTCAGTTCTTTATTTCAGCTCTTTCAGGTTGTTCTTATCCAATGAGGAATTTTTAGCAAATTGGGAATGCAAAAAAAGCTCAAGTTTTCATTTCAGATTCATAAATTAATTGAAATTAATATCCGTTTTGTAATTTTCTTTAGCATTTACTTATTACAGATTTACATAAATGAAATTCAATAAAAATTTCAGTTCTGCGATCTAAGTGGTAGCTCAAAAACTATTTCAGATTTTTAAGATTGATTTAGGAGTCACTGTTGCTGCCTCAAGAATGCCTCAACAACCTAAAACAAAATATATACAACATTTTATATTGTGGATTTTCTCATCATATTTTTCTTTAACTTCGTTTTCTACAGACATGTCATCTTTTTAGCAGAAGTGTTTATTTTCTAGCTGATGTTTTTCTAAAATAGGTTTACATGTTGAAAAAAAATAATATGCTTTCTAGGTTTCTTAATAGAACAGTAAGACATTAATTATAAATACTGCAAACATCTAGATTATTAAAAATGATTATTCATCCTTGAGAAATTTTTACTCATTTGACAGAATAAACAGTTGAGTTCCTAAAAATTAACAATTTTTGAACAAAACTAGAAAAACTTGACAAAACAGAGACACATTTGGGTAATTGTGGCATTCTTCCCCAATAAATATTTAAATAAAAAAAAACCTGTTTTAAATCCATCTCTGATATATTCTGCTTTTTTGCCCTGTAGCTAGGGTTATCAACTCGATGCATATGAGTGTTTCTGCAAACAAATAAACCTGAACACCCTGTGGAAAAAGCAAGGCAAGTCACATAGGTGTATGAGACAAAAAATATTGTTAATGTCATTTCTTAATTCTGACTGACTTGGAGGCTGTTTCGCAAATAATTGTGATAGGAAACTAAATAAAAATATTTGGTTCAACCCTAACATTGAAAATTGAATGTCCTAAAATAAAAAAAATGAACTTTATTAGTGATTTATATTGTTTTTAAAAATTTACAAAGATTGTAAATTAGAAAAAAACGACTATAATGAAGAAAAATATTTTTATATATATAAAAAAATATATATAAATTATTCATTTACTGAAGATATCCATTTTTAATAATTTTATTTTAATAACAAGATAAATATATTAATATTGAATTGTAGTTATAATAAAACACAAAGTGAGCAAAATATTAGTTATTTCACTATTAAATTTAATTTGAGACAAAATGCCCTGGCGTTCAATATTTTTTTTCCTCACATATATTTATCTGTACCATTTCCATCTTTCAAAATTTAATCCTTATTTTTATTTCAATTTAAAATTAAATTTTATAAAAGTATGCATTACATTGAGGAGTACTATAGACAATTTTGATAAAAACAGCCTTACATAAAAATTATCGATATCAGTTTTTTTATTAACTAAAAGATTACTAAAATAATGTATGAATACACCATTCTTTTTTATCCATATAATAAATTTGAAGATAACTAGATTTGAATGTGTTTTAAAAATTTTATATTTTTGGAACAAATTAAAATACTCAGCCTATCACTGTTATTAATTAACACAGCCACAATAAGTAAGTTTCCAAATTTCAAGTACATATGGACCCACAATCAATTATTACCTTCACAGTGATTTAAGTAATTTTTTATTGAAATATTTGATTTTGGGTTCATCACATCTTCATCCATAGGCTTTCGATTAATATTTTCAAAATATCTAGGTAAAGGAACTTCTCATGTCTTTTGGACAACTAAGGGCTTTCAATCTCGTCAAAGACACTGCTTTTGGATTGAGCAAAGGTTATGCATTTGCTGAATACATTGATATCACCATGACCGATCAGGTAAGTTAATGTTATAAAAGTGATAAAATGTATAATTATTAAAAAATAAATAATATAGTAATATATGATTATTTTAAACCTTTTAAACAGGCAATAGCAGGATTAAATGGAATGCAACTTGGAGATAAGCGACTAATTGTTCAAAGAGCTAGTGTTGGAGCAAAGAATACGACTGTGTTACCTGCAGTTCAAATCCAGGTTCCAGGTCTAAGTTTGGTTGGCGCATCTGGACCTGCTACAGAAGTTTTGTGTCTTTTGAACATGGTAACTATTTTTAGTTTGTTTTCTTAAAATTGTAACTTTTTCTCCTTATATTTTGTTTGTTTAAAATTGACATTTATTTTTGATTATATGTATTTCTATTAGACAATAAATCTTTACAGGTTACTCCAGATGAACTGAAAGACGAAGAGGAATATGAAGATATCCTCGAAGATATTAAAGAAGAATGTAATAAGTATGGTGTTGTCAGAAGTATTGAAATTCCTAGGCCGATTGAAGGTGTAGAAGTGCCAGGATGTGGAAAGGTAATAATTTATTTTCATTTAATAAAAAATTACTTAAATTAGTATTTTGGTATTGTTATATATCGCCATTTGTTCTTTTGAAAAAGATCACAGCTAAAAATTGGAAATATGCAATTTTATTTTTATTTAGAAAACACTATTTTTAACCTACAAAATATTATCTATTTGACTACAATGACTTAAGGCCAAAACAATTATTAACACTATTGTATTCCTTTTATTTATAAAAATTAATATTCAAAATTTAAAGAACTTCTTAATTTTTATTAAAAATAAAAATGATTAACTATTGTACAGTTAACAATTTAGACCCAAACTTCTCATATCTAATGCCAATATTATGGTTTATCAAAGTTATCTGTACTATCTGAAATAAAATAAAGATTCAGTTGTACTAGAAGGAGGTAAATGGAATCTGTGAATTAGAAAAATTATCTTTCTTTTGATGCCAGTTACTACACATACAATGGGTAACAACTATTTTAATAACATATGAATATATCAGATCATTTTATGAATTAATTATATCGATGGCTAAGAGGACAAATATTGAATGTCCATTTTTTGTCAAAAAAAGAGGAATTTTTAAGATTCTATGTTTCTTGAGGTGAAATCTTTATGATTCCCAAATATTGTACGTCCACTTGAAACTGTTAACCAGGTAACAATCATCAAAAAATATCTACTAACCAAAAGATACACAATATTTATGTACAATGTAAAGATGTACATAGAGTATAACTTACGCCACAGTTATGGCAGTTTCTTTCCAGCTAGTTTCCAGTGCAAAAAGGATCTTTTATGCGACAAAGTGATTCCAGAAAATTATAGAAACTTTCTGGAGATGTTAGCTATATCCGCCACGGCTAGAAAAATTGTACCCACTGAATCTGATTATGAAATAGACTAATCTTTTTAATTTGTTTGAACCTATATACAATTAAGTTAATCAAATACTATTACCAATTTTAACCGAATTTTATGCATGTCTCTTTCAATGGCATTATTTGGTGAATATTAACACTAATGCAAATCAAAAATTGAATAATAGCTAGTAGAAAGTTTAAAGATGAATTAATTTTTGTGGCAGTACTAATACAAACTATACACTCCTCACATTCTAGGATTACACATTATTATTTGCAATTGTCAGATATCGTAAATAGTATTTTCAGTTTATTTGTAATAATAATTCAAAATATTTATGTATAAATATTTTTTAATAAAACCTAAATTTATTAATTTCTCATCTGTATATTATGTTAGGCAGAAGGACTTTGGTCGATAGCCTATTGGACGGAATTTTCAATTCAATAAATGAAAATTATTATTATTTTATTATATTAATATCATTATATCGTTAGTTATTTCTGATGATTCATTGGTCAGCTCAAACATAATAACGTAAGGTTTGTTCCAACATTATACAAAATCGGTTTACATTCTTTCAGGATTCTGTGCAGTCTAGAATTGGTGTTCCAACAAACTTAAGACTTGAAACTGTACAAAAACCAAACCTAATCATAAACCAGTTTCTGTACTGTCAAATCAGTTCCTGGGTCTAAACAGGAACAAATTGTTAAGACATGTGCAAAATGAAAGTGAGCTTGTAAATAAAATATGACCAAATCTCGAAATTTCATGATTGTATTTGTTTTGATAGTATCCTAGTCTCGGTCCAGTTTATATTGTCAATTTAATAATGAAGAAAACAGAGAAAATATTGTCAAGATTTTACTAGCTAATATTTTATCGAAGATAAATAAAGGTAGTTTGTCCGTAAAAACAGATTTTGTTTCCTTTTTGATGTAAAGTTTTTTTAATTTATTTATTATCTAAAAATGTTTCAACCGATTTTAATGAAATTTTTACATATTAAGTGACAACTTTATGAGGTGTCTTTTGGACTTGCAGTTGATCCAGTAATTCCAGAGGGAATTTTAATTAGTTTTCGGTACAAAAAAATAAAATAAACAAAAACAAATTTTTGATCTGTTACATTTTTTTGTATCTTACTTTATTTTTGAGGAAAAAAATTAATAATTTTGAACGTCTCTGAATATCATACTTTGCTGGAAAAAGCGCCTTTATTATTTCTTTTATTTACGAGTGGTGGCCTAGCTTAGCAGGTTCACTACTGTTTATTGATAGCTGGAATTTAGCAAGGCCGCGCTTAGTACTTAAATGGGCGACTATGTTAAGGAAAGTCAGCGTACCTACAAAGCCCAAACAAACTGCTCGTGTAGTTGCATACCACAGCTAAAAAATGAAAATAAATAAAGTTTATAAATATACCAACCAATCCAATAATTAAAATTTTAAAATCCTTCAATGAGTTTTACATTTTGTATTTTAATATTTGACAACTGAAAAATGTATTTTGACATATCCGAGTTCGCAATTGCTTTTCAATCCTTGACAGATTGTCGAATCTAAGTATGATTTTTGCTGGAACAAACCTGTAATAGGAACGTTACATTATTCATGGAATTATTGATAATCACGATTTCACTATTATACTGGGTTCCCGCACGAATTGTTTGGATGGATATTCTGATGTCTTTAAAGTAAGACATTCATCTTTAGGAAAGTGAATTTATACAGAGGAGAACACAATATGTAATTGAATATATTAATTATAGACAGTAAAAATGTCAGGTTTGTCTAATGGAACGCTGACATCTGTCACGGCATTTGGAGGTTATGGGGAAGAAGGAAATGTTTCCAGTGACAGACAATTTTTTACATAGGTAAACAATAAATATGCAGTTTAAATCAATATAAAATTTTATTTTTAATTTTTTTAATTAAAGTGAGGTACATTTCCACACCACGTCTGTGGTTGGTATTACTGTTGTATGAAGATGTAGTAGGATAATGCTCTAGTAAAAAGCATTTGAGGCAATCTCGCGTGACATCTAGTGACGTTCTTATGAAGTAGACAATTTCTAATGCTATGCAGATACGTTCTCTACATCTTCTTTGCGACGAGGCATGTGGCCTCTACTATGTAAATGCACTCTACCCCTTACTAGTAAAGTTGAAACTTTTAAAACGTATCTTTATTTATTTAAAAATAACTGATTCATGATATAAGACAACAAATTAAACTCTTTATTTCAATAGGCAAAACCGTATAATTACAATTTGGATGAAGGATTTCAGTCAATAGTTTGGTTATGTACGGTTATGTCAATAAAATAAATAATTAATAATGAATGAATTGAAAAGTTCAAAATAGATGACAAAAAAGGAAAATAAGTTTCTGAAAATGTTGCCTGGGTGACTAGGTGATGACGGTGCATTTTCTATATGAAGCGTATCTTAAACGTGTAAATTTTAATGAATGAAAAAAAAATGCGAGAGAATAAATGCCAAGACACATGGCACAATGTGTAGCACTGATCTTCGTCTGGCAGATGACCAAGCTGTTATTTTTATATGAAGCAAATTATGTATAGTATGTATAAGCGAGGCTAAAAATTACATTTTTAATGAAAAAATGTCAGTTTAAGCTTAGGTTATTTTTTAACGACTAGCGGTGAAAATGAACCCGAGGTTCATAGTTAAAAAAAAACATTCAAATTACCTAAAATTTAAGTATTGTAATTTACCTCTGAGACAAATTATCTAAAGTACGATATGGTGTTAATCGACAATTTCATCATTAATAATGGGACACAGAGCAACTGATGATTCCCCGATTAAAAATAATACATGCTTAGATAAAATATTACCCGTTTCCGAAATGTTATGTGTTAAAGTTGAAAAATCCAAAATTAATAATGGCTTTAATTTGTTTATTTTTGGTGGCATGAGATACACCTATCAGCAATTAATCAGTTAAATAGACGTTGCCTGTGGCGTACGGCATGGATAAGTAACACCTTCATGCTCTCTAAATTTTATGACACTGTCCAAAAACTTATTTAGACAAAAATTTTAAATTTTTCAATATTTTTTAAATAAATCATGTACTCTTGTTGGGAACTCATAAAGTGATTGGTTTTCGAGATATTCACACTTAAAGGTGGTTATTCTTCACTTTAATTTATTTTTTATTTTGTAATTTTAAATTGTTTTATAAATTCCCAACAGGAGTGTATGATTTTTTTAAAAAACATTTAAAATTATAGAACAAATAAGTTCTTGGAGAGTGGCGTAAAATTTAGAAGGGATAAGTTACCACTGGCAAAGTTTATTTAACTGATTGTTTTGCTGTTAGGTGTATATTATGGCACCAAAAATATCTAGAAAACCAATCACTTTATGACTTCCCAACAAGAGTACATAATTTAAAAAAAAAAAAAACTTAAAAATGTAAAAGTATAGTCCAAATAAATGGCTAGGTGTAAAATTTAGTGGGGTTGAAGGTGTTACTTATCCATGCTGTACGTCACTGGCAAAGTTTATTTTACTGATTGTTTTGCCGATATGTATATCTTAAAACATCAAAAATGTTTACGGAATTTAGTAAAATTATATTGAGAAATAAAAAAATTATAGCCATTAATAATTTTTGAATTTTCAACTTCACTGTATTTCGGTAATATTTTATCTAAGCATGTTTCGTTTAATCGTCTTTTTTTTAATCGGATAATTTTCAGTTGTTTTGTGTCCCTTTCTTATTAATTTTTAAAAATGGAGTTTAACAATGCTATTATTGATTATCCGCCATCCGCCTGCTTTTTAACCTTTAACTGATAGTGGTAGAGGGAATTAGGGATTGTCCAACTCAATGATTCACTGAAAGAATGTGATGGGAATTCCCTTACTTCTAGCTAAACTATCTTAAGGGCAAAAGTACTACAAGTTTAAGAGTTTAATATCTTCATAAATATACAGGGTGAATCCTAAGTTGATACTTCTTTACTGTGTATAGAAGTCATTAAAATAAACAACTTTTTTCAAATAACTTAAATACATTAAATTATTCCGAAATGTATCTAATACGGTCCTGTCTAACTTAAATAATGTGTAGAACTCTCATCGAAAAATGTTGATCACGTTCATTCCGTTGTAAAAACCGTTTACAAAACTTAATACCTTTGGGAAAACCTACAAGTTGTAGTGCCCAAACACGTTGAACTTGAAAGAGATATAAATGATTTTCCCACATTATTGTTCATACTTTTGACTTGTTGAATTTTCCTCAATAACATTTAAAATGTGTTCTTCTAATCGCACTTTATTTTTAATTTACCATACTGTACATTTTAAATTCACTTCTTCTGATAAACACACTACTGAAATAACACGCGACTGAACTACAATAACCGGTACACAATGAATCGTGATTCATAAGAAAAACCTAAAAAAAGTTCAGGCTCTAATTTAGATTTTTAATTCTGTATCTTTTTTATTTTTGGGTTAAAAAAACTACTTCTATACACAGTTAAAAAAAGTATCAACTTATAATTCACTCTGTATATGATTAATACAAGTTCAAAAATAAAAGTAAATAGGTTATAATGCAGAAGTGACATTAAAAAGTTGATCCCTGTATAAAATCACTTTCCAAAAAGTGATTTTTTTTATTTAAAAAGACCAGAAATATATACCCGTCCGAATTTTTATGCCTGGTGTTTCATTTTTTTTTTCTACATTCACACAATTGCACATTGCATTCAATTGAAAGAATATACAACTATACTACTATTTTTTTAAATGATAAGGGGGGGTGGGTTGGCTGGGTGGTTAGAGTAATATGACTTTAAGATCGAAAGGTCTCAGGATCGAATCTCACCGATGATAGTGATTTTTATTTGATAAAAAAATTCTAATGCATAGCTAGGATTCCCCACTCGACCATTTACTATTGGGTTCTAATTAACAGTGCTGTTCCTAAAGTGGAGCTGGGAAATAGTAACAATGCCTGTCTGTAGGGGTGCAGGAGTATTAGAGTACTAGAACTCCTGCACTGTATATGCTAGTACAATCCATAACATACATAGAACGCGGGGCAAATGACCTAAATGTTGATAGGCGTACTTACTTGTTATGCGGAAGGTCTGGGGTTCAAAACTGATTGAGGACTATTTTATTCTTTTTTTTTAAGTTAATATTTTATATATTGGTAAAAGTCATAAATTAATTTTTAAATTGTTTTATCCTAATAGCCTTAATGAATCTATAATTTTATGGGTTGCAACATACGCTTAACACTAACCTAAAAATAATTCGCACATGCATTAATAAACGACGAAAATGTAATCATAAAATGAATTAGTTTACCAGTTTAATTATATTTAAAATTATTATTGAATTTGACTTATTATATGATTTTTCAGGTGTTTGTGGAGTTCAACTCGGTGTTGGATTGTCAAAAGGCCCAACAGACTCTTACCGGAAGAAAGTTCAGTAACCGTGTGGTTGTGACGTCCTACTTTGATCCCGATAAGTATCATAGAAGAGAATTTTAGGTTAAGTTTAGATTTAAGATTACCTTTATTATAATGTTCTGATCAGTTTATGTGTAATAATAGCTATTTCGATTTGTTTATATTTTAATTGACTAAATATACTTATCTTTAGGTGTATATTAGATTTATAATTGGTAATTTCCCTTTATTTTATTAATCATTTTCATTTTTACATAAAATATTGTACGATGATATTGATATATAGGGTGTCCGGAAATATCATTCGAATACTTTCAGGGGTGATCTACATAAAAATAAAAACATGAACATTTTTTTAATACGAACCTGAATCAAGATAAGATTCAAGATACAGTGTCAATTTTTTATTTTTTTTTTATCTTAAGTATCCTTTAGTTTAGGCTTAATTAAATTAACATTATGAAGTCTAGTGACGCCCCGAGGGGCACCTATATTATTGACAAAAAAAAGTACACCACTGAATTTTTTTTTTAATTTTCGGATTAATCAACTAAAAACAATATTTTTGTCCCTAGAATTGCTTACGTATTGTGTTTCGCTTTCTTAAAAAATAAAACAATTTATTTTGGCAAAAAATTATATCAAAAATCATATCTTGAAAACTGCATTTCTGGACCCAGGTTCATATGAATTTTATTTTATGTTCTCTTATGTAGTCACCCCTAAAATTATTCTAATGATATTTTCGAACTTTTTTCCCAATAACCAATCCTTTAGGACCCCAATTAACAAAGTATCCCCTGCTTTTCTGGGCATGTCCATGGTTTATCTACGTAGACGTCGCTACACAATCTAAATGTGGAAATAAAAAAAATCTGGCAATTTTTATCTTAGAAACATCCTTGCTACACAGGTCCCACAAAATATCTTAGGAACATTAGCTGGTCAGGTTTTGTAACTGGACATCCAGCCATGAAAAGGAAAATTACTCCCGTAGTAGAGTACCAGGGATTAAAATAATCTATAAAATATAAGCAAAAGCAAAATTAACAAAAAAAAATGGACGTCACATGAGGAGAAGCAAAAGGTGAAGCTAGAGGTGAGAGGGTTTGGGAGAGAAAAAATTACTAAGGTGGCTGTACCACCATCTTTCTATCAACATAACTGATTAAAAAGTCGCATATCTTTGGGTGAACTTTATTCCAGTTAGGAACTATTAAATGGCAAGAGATAGAAAAGCATAGAGAACATAGGAGGAAACCACAGAGGGAATTAAGCACACAAGGTTTGGAAATTGTGAGGAATTTACAGGTTTACAAACAAATATGAAACTTACATGCTTAAAAACTATCATTATCTGTAACGTGTGGAGGGTGGGTTACCCCCCACGGCGCTTAGGCCTCATTAGGCCCATTGTGCATCCTCCTAAGATGATAGGCACCTCCTAGCTCGTCAACCAGCCTACAGATTTAATGTAGTTGACAACGTCGCCAAGAGGAGCTTTTCTTATATCGGCCGGTATTAGCCGATACTCGCCGAACACAAATCTTCTAATAAATGAGAGCGTCGGGCAATCGTAAAGGATATGCTCGATGGTCTCATCTTCTTGTTCGCACCCTCTGCAGAGTGCGGATTCTGACAGCCCCATGATATGGAGATGCTTCCTTACTTGGCAATGACCAGACGCAGATTCTGTCTAGTCATAGTCAAGTATTTGTTTGCTGCAGTGTTGTCAGGATAACTTAAGAGCTCCCTGGCAACTCTGCAGTTTCTTGTTGCATCCCATCTTTCCTTGAATTTCACAAGGGAATGTTCTTTAATTAGGTCTGTCACTACCGATTTTGTCAGGCCAATAGAAGGGCCAGGTCCAAAAAGTATTTGGTTGGCTGCTTTCTTGGCTAGTGAATCGGTTACCTTTCGATGTGGGGTGACCTTTGATCCATCTTAAGGTGACCACATTGTTGATGGATACTTCGGCCAAAGCTTCATGACATTCTAGTATTAATCCTGAATAAATTCGTGGTCTGTTCAGGGTGAGGAGTGCTTGTCTGCTATCCGTATAGATGAGCATGTTCCTTCCAGTGATATTATTTCTGGTTATTTCTTTTGCTGCTATGAGAATCCCCGTTAGCTTTGTTTGAACTACACTGGCACTATTGCTCACAGTCCATTTTATGTTAAGGTTTAAGAATCTGGAGTATATTCCACATCCTGAGCCTTGTTTTGTTTTAGAACCGTCGGTCGGTGTAGATATGAATCGTACCTGCCACTTCCAGCTCTTCTATTTGTTCTATTATAACTTTATATGACTTATGAAAGATATATTTCGGTGAGATGGAGTCCATGTTCGCTTAAAGCATTGGGAGCGTATCCAGCTTCTCCTGCCAAAAGTGACGTCTCACCTCACCAGATCCTACATCAAGTTCTATTCCGACCGTGCGGAGGCGTGTCATTGTCGTCAGAGCAACCTCCTTGATGTAAATATCAAGGGGAGTGAGACTAAGAATGACTTCCGTAGCTCTAGTCGGTGTTGTTTTCATGGCTCCTGTTGAGACATGCTGTTCTTTGAATTTGTTCTAGTTTACGGATAGCTGTTAATTTTTGGGTTTTCGGTACCCAGACCACTGCACCGTATGTTAGCATAGGTCTTATGATAGCCGTGTAAGTCCATGCGATGACTCTGGGGGAGAAACCCCAGGTGCGCTCCACGGTTCGGCGGCATTGTTCATAAGCAATGTATGCTCTTTTAACTCTGTTTTCTAAATGCGAGTTCCATGTTAACTTGCTGTCAAAGGTGAGACCTAGGTACTTCACCTCTGTTGCAAAGTTTAGTTTTGTGTTTTGGAGTTCTGGAGGTTTTAATTACATTTTCAACCTTTTCCTTGTGAAAAGGACCATTTCTGTCTTCTTAGGATTGATAGACAGTGAATGGTCCTTGCACCACTGTTCTATAATTTTTAGAGCTACTTGCATTCTTTCGCAGAGTATGTTCTCAAAATTCCCTGTTTGCAGAATGACCAGGTCATCTGCATATGCTATTGTGTATTGACTGTCAAATATATCTAGCCAAGTTAGGTAAATACTTTGAATCAGCGATACACTCGTCAATACTAAGGTCTACTGGGAAGCCCAATAAATAAACCAGTTAGGTATTAATTCAATTAAATAAATCAGTGTCGTAGCGTGAGACAGGTATATGGTTAGTTGTAGTAGTTTATTTTGATGTTAAACTAAAGTGTTGGTAGTGTATAATAACTTTTTTGTGTTAACATTGCCCGGTTGACTGAGATATACATTGTGTTATATTGATTAACTTGAAAATAAATGCTTATTAAAGTAAGTAAATAAAGGATATGTAGACCAGTCTAATTAAGGATGCCACAGCACTTCCGGTTTTTGATCTTATGATATAAATTTGAATTTTAGGTAATCCTTTCCTGGCTTATTAGGGTCGCAGCTAGTTGATGGGTTAAATATTTATCGTGTGGCACTTACCCCGCATAATCTGTTATAAACAGGCATATTTACTCTAATTTCCAAATAATGGTTGAAATAAATAAGCCTATGTATGGGCCATTTGTTTTATTTATTTTAGTTACGTGTATTTTTCATTTATGTTCGGAACTTTGATTTGAGTGTGTTGTAACCTACCGCACCCTTCCGACAATGCAAGCATTGTACGTGAAAAGAAGGTGACTAGGATTGTACAAGCTCTAAAAGTAAAATGTGTTGAAAAAAAAATTAAATTGGATGAGCACCAGAAAAATATGGTACGCACAACTATTCATTCTTTTTTTTTTTGTAAACAAATCGCCAACCATGGAATTCGTTAGAAGTTAATTATTGGAGAATGATCTCGTTCCACAAATGAGCAGAGATACATTAGGAAAAATAGTACACGAGTTAAAGTTTCGATATGCAAGACGATCTCGTAACCCTGTTTTAATAGAAAGAGAAGAAATAGTTTTATGGCGACGAAAATATCTTTGCTCTATAAGGGAACATGGGCGAATGCTGGTCACACAGTATCTAAGATCTGCCATATAGGTAGTGAAGGTGTTTTTTAAACGACAGTAATATTACGCTGGTTTTTGGTATCACAATTTATTTCAACTGAACTTTACAATAACTATAATTCAACTTTGACAATAACTTTACAACTGAAAACATTCACGTATAACGTCTATCATAAAACTGAAACGCTGACGTCAGGTCGTCGCCTTATATAGCTTGCCTTCCCTTCTGGAAACTTCTCGAACAATCTAGACTTTCCTTTGACAAGGAATGTCATTTCGAGACTTTTCGGGAATATTCTATCTTCTTCATTTACTCGTACCTTTACTTATGATGACCGCAGCACGCTACAGGGTGCTGCGTAACAGTACTTTAGTTTTCTTATCTAAAAAAAACGGGGGATTATCATAAAGACATGGACGCTCAACGCTTTGAGGGTTGGTTTGAAACCCTACTTTCATGGATCGAGCCAAATTCAGTGATAGTGCTTGATAACGCTTCTTTTCACAGCCGCTTAGTGGAATGTCTACCCACTATGGCTACTAAAAAAGCGGTGATGCAAGGTTGATTACGACAAAAGGTAATTCGCTTTTCTGAGGAGATGGTTAAAGGGGAGCTACTTATAACAGTAATTAAACAGCATCGAGACAGATATCGTCAGCATGTTGTAGATACATTGGTTCTTGCTCGAGGTATAAACGTATTAAGACTTCCTCCGTAATATTGCGAATTGAATCCGATAGAACTTATTTGGGCTCAAATAAAGGGTTACCTACGTAGCTCGTGCAAACGTGACATTTAAAATTAGTGACGTCCAACGTTTGCTGGAAATCGGAATAGCGCGAATACGGAAAGAAGATAGGATAAATGCCGAACCCACGTCATCAAGGAAGAAGACAAAATGTGGAGATTGGGCGGGATGGTGGATAATGTAATCATAAAGGTGGTGATAGAATTCAATGTCTCAGAGGATTCTAGTTCTGAAGACTTCAGCATAATTCAATATTTTTTATTTTAATCTTGATTACTGATTTATATACGTGTAGGTATATTTATTTTTAATTTAATTTTTGATTTATCTTTTTTGTTTATAAATAATCTAACAATTGCTAAATTATTTAAGTATTTTTTAACTTTAAATTTATTGATTATTAGAAGGCCACTCATTTTTAATTCCTATCAATAT